CCACTTGGCCAATCCATCTCGTTGGGGGTCTTCCTCTATTTCTCTGACCCTCCACCTTACCAAACACGCAGACCATGGGGCATATTAATTAAAGAAGCAACAGGTTAGGAATGAGGATAAGGATCAACTTGGAAGTAAGAGGAACAACTCAGGATAATGTTCCTTGATGAGGACAGCTTTTTCTCATTTGCAGCAGCTCTCAGCCTTTGTTCTTGGCCCTCAGTTCAGCCCGTCTTTCTCACATAAGTATTGCAAAACTCATTAGTTCTGCTGCTAAATGCCTGGAGGCACCCCACTTTGCCTGAAGGTGATCAGCTCTCTCAGTCTGTGGGGCAGTGAGCCTAGCCTGCTGGTCCAATGTTGCTGCTGTCTTGTGCTATCTTCAGTGTTACAGTTCTATGTTCTGGGTCTAGGATGTTCTGAGCGCAGGAACCTTGGGTATAAAAGTCATGGTCTACTGCTGACTCTTCTTGATGGTAGTGAGACACAGACTGGTAGATTTGGTGGTGAGAAAACAAGGCAATTCTCGCCTAATGGTTTCAATTTTCTCATTTAAACATAGGGCAGCTCAATCTGTCAAGCAGACCTGTTTCCTTGACCATAATTGCCCTAATTGAACCAGTCATGGGATCCAACATTGTAAGGCCATGAGGCTGCTTTTGAATGAGGATTCAAAGGTATTAGGATCTCTTAGTGCTAAAATTGGGAGAATTTATAAATTTAGTAAATAGAAAAGCAGAGGATACTGGGTGGGAATTGCTTTTGGAAAGCGTGGTTTCATCGTAATATGACAGATTTCAAAACACAGCAGCTGGGAGTCTTGGGCCAATAATTCTTTTTTTGTTTTTCCCTCACTTCCCCTTATTGGTGATGAACATGGAAACCAGTCAGAGTTTGTTTTCCCATTGAGCCTTAGTCTTGGAAAGGGGTTTGCCCTGAGGGGACCTTGCCTTCATGTCTCCTGGGTGAGCAACTTGCTTGTTCTTGTAGTAATCAGTCGGACTGCCTTTATTGTTTTGTATCCCCCCCCCAGGTCTTTCTTTCAAGAAGTATCTTTTGTTCTTCTAGCCTGCTCCAGGGTGGTCTGCTTCTCCTTTCAAGTGGAAATGTCCCCTCTGGAGATTCTGGATGCTGTTCAGGATTCTACCTGTGGTCTTATGTAATGCAGAGGCTCTGCAAGAAGCCTCCTTCACTGGGCATGTTGTATAAGCTTTCTATGGTGATCTCTCTGGCTATTCCTGTCTCTCCCCCTCAAGTGTCTATTTTATAATGGTATGCAAGGGAAACCAAGATTCAAAAGACAGCCAAGCATCTTAATATTATTTCCCTGCTTTTGCCCATTCCTACTGTGTGTCAATGCCTATATCCGAGAGCCCTGTTGTGCCAAGGCTGTGTGTGCATATATCATTATTTACCTCTGTCCCACTTAGTTCATCATGTGAATCTGCCTAATTGTTCTCCCATCTGCTTTGTTCTTCCATTCCCTTCCTCCTTGGACAATTATTCTTATGGCCCTTAACAGTTTCCAGTGACTTTCTGATTACTTGTACTAGTCCTGTGTGAAGCTCAACTGCATTTCTGGTCCATGGATTTTAAGTTTTCTTGAGATATTTTTATGATTTCAAATTCTGTTCCCTATTTATACTTAGGAGTCCTGGTGTGGTGCTGTGGGTTAATGTGCCAGACTGCAAAGCCATTTGAACTGCAAGGTCAGCGGTTCAAGCTCACCAGCTGCTCCTCGGAAACCCTATACAGAGTCATTATGGGTCGGAACTGACTCGATGGCACTTCACAACAAATTTATACTTGAATTACTTTGAGTGAAGTAGAAATATCTGCAACAACAACAAAAAATACAGAAGAGAACTTTCATGATACAGTAATGTGGGGATTATCACTTACATTTTCTACCTAAGGGGAAGAGGTGATAGTAATTATCTCATACTTTGAATAAGGTTTTACTGTTTACCATGTACTTCCACTTACATGATCACACCTGAGCCTCATTACAACCCCTGAACATAAGGATGGCTGGCATCATTATCTGTATTTTATGTATGAGAAAGTTACGTTTCAGAGGCCACAGGAAATTGAGACTAAAGCATGAAGATAAACTATATATAACTATGGAAATCAACACCTGCCTGCCATTTATTATATTGTGGTGGTTTGTGTGTTGATATGATGCTGGAAGCTATGCCACTGGTATATCAGCAGGGTCACTTATAGTGGATGAGTTTCAGTGGAGCTTTCAGAAGAAAGGTCTAGTGATCTACTCCTGAAAATTAGCCAATGAAAATCCTAAGGGTCCCAAATGACTGTCTGCTATAGTGCTGGAAAATGAGCCCCACTAGGTTGCAAGGCACTCAAAACACATAGTGGCTACAAGCAATGGACTAGAGCAGACCAACGATCATAAACATGCGGCAGGACCAGGCAACTTTTCATTCTGTTGCACATGGGGTTACTATAAATCAAAGTCGATTTGATGGCAACTGGTGTGGCGCTGTAGGTTAATGCGCCAGACTGCAAAGCTGTTTGAACTGCAAGGTCAGCAGTTCAAACTCACCAGTTGCTCCTCGGAAACCCTATACAGGGTTGCTATGGGTCAGAATCGACTCCACGGCGCTTAACAACAATGTGGTGATGTAGAATAAGCATTTGACCATAAGGTTGGCCTCTCCTTGGAAACCCTTTATAAGGTTACTATGAGTCAGAATTGACTTGACAGCATTAACAACAACAAAGTAATGTAAAACTGATGAGATATTTGATTTTGTGTGTGTGTGACATAGAAGCATGATGGGAAAATCAATTTTAAAATGCTGTAAGTATATTGCTTTAGGATAAAATTGTAGGTAGGGGAATAGAATGGAAATACTAGATCAAGGGAAAAAATAATGTAAAATTTCCAACTCTTTAAAAGGTTTTATTTTCTAAATGCATAATTAAAAACAAAAAACAAAAACCACAACAGTTGCTGTTGAGTTCATTCAGACTCCTGGTGATCTAGTATGTTTCAAAACAGAGCTTTGCTCCACAGAATTTTCAGATTGATTAGAATCTAAAGTAGATCACCAGGACTTTCTTCCAAAGTACCTCTGGGTGGACTCACACATTCAGTGTGAGTTTCAGTGGAGCTTTCAGAAGAAAGGTCTAGTGATCTACTCCTGAAAATCAGCCAATGAAAATCCTAAGGGTTTTCTGTTAATAGTTAACTGTTTACACTCCCCAAATAAATACTGCTACTGTTGTTAAGTGCTGTCGATTTGGTTCCAACTCATAGTAACCCTGTATAGGGTTTCCAGAGAGGGACTGCTGAGGTTGAATCATGACCTAGTGATTCAAACCGACCTGGAGGCCCAGTGCTTACCTTAAGGGGCCACACCAGGAGTCCGGTGGGTACCAAGTTATTTTACTATATAGATTGCACAGGAGACACACTGCAATGACCAAGACTTTTATTTTTAAATAGTAATTATTTACCTTATACCAGAAATGACGACATTGGCAGTCTTAATTTCCCGATGAGGAATTTCGGGTCAACTGAAAAAATTCGAAGAGGGAGTAACAAGAAATTCAAAATTGCTCTAACACTGTTTAAAAGTTAAGCTACAGTAAAAGTAGACCACATTGCCTGGGAACGAACACACCAATGTGTACTTTAACATTTTTTTTGTCAATCCCTTACTAAAATAAAAGAACAAAAAATTAGTAAACAATTTAATCTAGGGATTCCCTTTTGTACATCGAGCAGTTTTTAATGCGGCTCATTCGAATACTGTAATTTGTTACTTTTCACGATCATTTCCCTAGGCTGCACAGGGACCATGCAAGGAGGGTTTTAAGAAACCTGTTTACCTTTGGATCAAGGGGAGAAAAACAGCCGTTCCACGATCTAGGGCTTTTACCCCAAGTCCATTCTGTTGTCCCCTAGTAGTACTTCCAGATGGCAACAAGCCACTGCTCACGTGACACCCGCCCACTCGCGCGCCGCGGGTTCACTGCACGAAGAATGCTCAAAACGCAGACCTTCGGGGCCTTTTCTGTAGGCCCAGATTCTGAGTGGCGGCGCGTGGGCAGTCAGCGCTGCAGATTGAGAGGGTTATTTTGCGGCAGCCGCCCACCAGCCGGAGCCAGGAGCTCCGTTCACCTGATCCGTCCTCCGTCCCCACCTCCGTGCCCCGCAGATGTCACCCTGGGCTCTAGCGAACGGGGCGACGGTCCCCAGCCGGTCAGAACAATTGAGCGAGGCGCAAAATTCCAACTGGTATCTGGCTGCACCTCTCAGCGTATCTTACCGAAGATGGCGGCGGCGGGGTCCGACGGTCACTTTCCAGGCGCCCTTAACTCGCTCTTGCCGCCGCACCACCTACCTTGTTAGCGACGAGGTCCCGACGCGCTGCGCGAGGGGGCGGGAAGGAGTGACGACTAGCACTTGGAGGCGCCAATGAGCATACAGGAGTTCGCGCCGCGCCCAATCAAGGGACGGGGCGGCGGAGAACTAGGGTAGGTTGTAGGCAGTCTGCGCATGTGGAGAACACGGAGCTTCTGGGACTTTTCTTGCTGCTGCGCCGGGCTTCTTCCAGCGCACTCTGCATCCTGGCACTTGGCACATCCTCGACGCCGCCGTGGAGGAGCTGACCAGCCGTCTTCCCGCTGGTCCGCGGCCAGAGATCAGGAAAGCCTCTTGCAGTGGTCGCGGAGTCACCTCCGTGACTGCTGCCATGACCGACTCTCTCAAAAGGAAACTTTTCCTTCGCAGTGAATGCAGAGAGAGATGAGGGGCGACTGCTGGCCTTAGGACAGTGAGATGAGTTCTGGATCTGCCAGTTAAGATTTTGCTGAAGGTCGCCTGCTCCTTCTAGGGCTCCTTCCTTTTACCCGACGACCAGGTGCCTCCCGCGGGCAGCTTGTGAGAGGAAGGCCTCGCTCGCTGCCGGGGCGCGCGACCACTGAAGGGGAAAGAGCGGGGGTTCTGGGCCGTCGCGGACGACAGCATGTTCCCGCGGAGACCGCTAGCCGCGGTGGCTGCCTGGCTGGCTGGCGCGGCCGCGGCGGGGCGCGCGGGGGTGAGATGCGGGGGCCTGTTGGCGTTGCTGGCCAATCAGTGCAGCTTCGTGACGGGCCTGCGCGTGCGGCGCGCGCAGCAGATCGGGCAGCTCTACGGCCGCCTCTACTCAGAGAGCGCTCGCCGCGTCCTCCTTGGCCGCCTCTGGCGCCGACTGCGCGGCCGCCCTGGCCATGTCTCTACCGTGATGGCGGCGCTGGCCGGGGTTTTCGTGTGGGATGAGGAGAGGATCCAGGAGGAGGAGTTGCAGAGGTGGGTACAGTAGCAGCCTGGTTATTCTTCCATGGGGCGGAGGAGGGGTTGGGAAGCTGGGGTGGGACGTGAGCCCTGGGACTTGTTTACTGATCAGTCTCGAGTCGGTCTCCTGGTGGCTACGTTAGTAAGCAAATCAATCTGTTTTTGTTTTTTTTTTTTAGCAAGCCTGTTCTTTTATTGTCCCTCATGTGTTGCTTTGGTTTGTCGGGTTAAAAATGAAAACTGAAAGTGTACATTAGTGTAGGAGGGAGACTTTGAAGCAGCATTGTAAAAACAAATCGGATCATATAGGCCATTGTTAATGTAAGCCTTAACAAATCCAGAAAGGTGCAAAGGCGAACCATGTTGCCTTGCGCTTTTCCCAGTGGACTAATCCAAATGAGACCCAGGCTTTCTGAGAAATGCCAAGAGAGCTCTCTATTACTTAAGTCCAAATTGAGTCCAAAAAGGACAAACCAACGGCCCAGACATTTTTAATCTTTTTTTTTGGCTACTTTAACTAGAATTAATTTGGCTGTGAAATCAGGCTGATGTCAGAACTTCAGTGTGAAAAGTAATGTGTTCATCTGTGACTGTCAATCAGAATTTTTGAGTTTTCTGGTTAACCTTGCCTCGACTCTCACTTTGCATTGTACGGATTTTCCTAAACTGCTGGTGTGGCGCTGCAGGATTAGTACTGGACTGCTAACTTCAAGGTTGGTAGTTCAAACCCACCAGCCGCACCTTGGAAACCCTGTGAATCGGAACCTACTCGATGGCACTTAACGACAACAAGCTGTGCTTACTCCTCACCCCCGACTCTGCTCCTCAACACTGAAACTTTTGTCAAGACTGCTTTTAGGATCCTGGAACAAATTCCTCTCCCTGATAAGCTCCCACGCACGCCTGTTTAAACATTTCTTCCGTAGACATTTCTTAACATTTCTGGTTAGGTTAAAAGTGGAAATCCTCCAAATAAAGAAATTTACTGTGCGAACTCTCTGGGAGATATAACAAGTAAGTATAAGGCTGTTTGACGAACTGGCACAACTTTTCCTTGCGGGAAGGATGAAAATTTTATAAATACAAAGTAAAGTCATAACCACAAACATGCTTATTCACAAAAAAGCTGAGGTAGCAAAGCATGAAATATCATTTGCTTAGTTTCCATTAGTATTCTTTTGTTACTTAGGCATACAGTCTCAGGTGTGAGGAAATACATTAAAAAATTATAAGAAGAAACCTTTTAAATTATTAATTGACTTTTGAATTTTCAAATATATTCTATTTTTGACACTAACATACCCATGTTCCACAGTGGTTATATTTGAAATGAAAATCCCCAATTTGGATCTGACTGTGGAAGAGCAGATATACCAGGAGTTGTTAAGTGCTATTGAGTCAGTTCCAAGTTTTTTTTTTTAATGTTTTTATTGTGAATTGGGTGAAAGTTAACAGGGCAGGTCATCAGTTTTACATTCAAGAAATTATACACCTGATTTCATTACAACGTTTATAATCCCCTCCATGTACCATCAGTTAACTATTCTCTCTATTCATTTTAGCTCTTTAAAAAAACAAAAACAAAAACCACTCAGGCATATATAATAATGTACACCACCAAAGGGGCACATTCTGCAAGTCTGCTTCCTGGACGCCCGCTCTCAGTTCCTGTCTTCCCATGAATGTAGAGTCCTCAGCTGCTCCCTCTCTCCCTGTGCCCATCTCTGTCTCCATCTCTGGTGTCGCTGCTTCTCTGAGTTGCAAGTTTTTAAGGAGCAGCTAGTGAGTTTGAACCACCGAGTAGGGGTACTGTCTGCAAAAGAGGACAGCTGTTATGTTGGAGTCAGGAGTTGAATACTTTTAAGCCTGAGCTGGTAGATAACCCTCTTTGGCTTAACTTCAAGTGTTTTTGGCATGATAGGTCCTGGAGCCTCTGTTTAGCAGTTCTGCCATTTGCAGGAGCTAGAGGTTGAAAAAAAAAAAAAGCGTGGTAAACATTTGAGTCAGTAGTTGCTCATTGCATATTGTGGGGGAGAGATCAAACCAGTTGATTTCCAAACCAGGTATACATTCTTTCACCCTCTTCCAGCTGTCTCTGAAACCTAAGTGCTGTTGAGAAACTCTTGGTTCCATTCCAATTCCTACATAGGCATTGCTCCAGATTACCAGCGTTGGAATTTCAGAAGCTTTAATGAAGGACAGCCAAAACACTTTTAAAGTGCCTTTGACTATCCTTTGGATTGTCCTGTTATAGGCCCTCATTTAATACTTGTCCAATTCATGTTTGAATTGTTTTTCTTATGTTTAAAATTTTATTATGTTTCCCATCTTGTGTTGCCCCTGTCATGTGTTCAGTCATATCGTTCTGTTCACCTGCATCTTGATTGTACATTTGTTCCTTAGGTCTTTGCTTTGAGAGCTTGTCATGTTTATATTTTATTGAATAAAATATTCTGGGTACAGGTTAACTTTCCTTGCTTTGTGTTTAGGTGTTCTGCTTGATTTAAAATAAGCCCTGCTGATGTGGCCATAGAGGTTGTTAAGCACATGACATTGTAGATGTTTCTTTTGCTCTTGTTAGTTGATTATGGGTAGCTTCCAGAATGGAGCCCAGTTGAATGTTTTCCAGCAAATGTTTATCTTTCATTGTTAATGTTTGAAAAGCACAATTGTCACATGGTCCCCAAATCACAGCCTTTGACTGTTCTGTGCTGTTTCTGTACCAGCTTGTCCTGGTACAAATGAATTGCCACCTTCGTTAAACTCTGATGGGATGTGCTTTTCAATGTGTACTTTAAACTGGTATGTTATTCTCCTATAATACTTGGGTTTCTATTCAGAATGAAAAAGAAGCTTGCTTGTTCATCTGTTGTGCTTCAGAGCATCTTACTAAATAGGATCTCATTAATCTATCAATAGCAAAGACATTTGAGAAAGGAAGCAACTTGTATAAAGTGATTTTGACTCACTGCTGGACCCAGGGGTAGAAATCAGGTCTTTTGATGCTTGCAGCATTTAGTAACTTCGTGTCTCATACTTCTGACGTTAATGTCAGGAGGGACCAGTCACAGGAGAAGGATATCATGTTTGATAAAGTGGAAGGTCAGAGAAAAAGAGGAAGACTCCCCAACAAGATGGATTGGCCAAGTGGCAGCATCCATGGACTCAAGCGTGGCAACAGTAATGAGGTTGGCCCAGGGTCGGGCAGTGTTTCGTTCTGCTGTGCATAAGGTCGTTATGGGTCGGTACTGACTCGATGGCACCTAGCAGCAACAACCCAGTAGGCTCCAGTGAAACAAGCAAACAAAATAACTTCTGGTCACTGTTTCTGGTGCAAGCTGGTATTCTGTGAGCCCAGGGCAAATGTTATGAGAAACTACAGTAGCAAATGTTTTATTACCTTGGAAAATTAAAAATTTTAAATTGCAGCATTAAAAAGAGGAAGGAAGTTGAGTAATAGGGAGGACTAGGGGAAATGTTCCATAACACCCCTCCCTTCTCCCCTTTTTAAAGTTACAGCTCATTGCTCAAGAAATTTTAAGTAAATAAGTGACAGTAAAGTTTGATAAAGAAAATTGCCTGTTATTCCCATTTTTGTCTTCTAGGACATTCAAAATAACTTTAACCTTTCAGTATGTTATTAGCTAGATAAATGATCGACATAAAGGTTTTTTTGGCCTGAAGGAATTACTTTTTTTTTCCTTTGTCATTTTAGAATATTTTACTGATGCACCTTTCTTAGTTTATCAGGACTACATAAAAACAGACTTGAACATTTTGAGACTGCCTTCATTCTGAGTCCTAATATGGTGCTATAGTATGTAAGCATTGGACTGCTAGCCGCAAGGTCAGCAATTCAAACCCACCTTGGAAACCGTTCCTTGGAAATCCTACACAGGGTTGCTATAAATTGGAACTGATTCGACAGCATTTAACAACAACAACAGTTATCTCAGAATTGTAGTGAACTCTATGATGTCTTTTATTTCCAGTATTCTCTCTACGGGTCAGAACCAACTCCACTGCACATAATCACAACTCCACTGCCATATCAAAAGTACATGAAAGTGCCTAACTTTGACTTTAATTTGGAATTTGAGGAAGGGATTATGTGAAATGAGACAGATGTCTTGTTGATGTTTCTGATTGCATGATGGCTTCATTTGCATCATTTTGGCATTTTATATCTAGTACTTAAAGAGCTCTGGCAGCATAGTGGTTATGAGTCAGGCTGCTGCTAACTTCAAGTTCAGCAGTTCGAAACTCCTAGCTGTTCCGTGGGAGAAAGATGAGACTTTTTGCTCCTGTAGAGATTTACAGCCTCGGAAACCCTGTGCAGGGTCGCCATGAGTCAGAACCGACTCCACAGCACATAGCCACTACCATATCAAGTACTTGATTGAGGGCAGGGCCACTAGGTGAGCCAAACGTGGTTATTAATTATGTTTTCATGGTTGCAGGTCTTGTTTCCATGGCTGTCAGTCCAGCGTTTATCAAATATTGAAATGATTTTTGTTTTAGGCATAGGAAAGTACTGACTTTCTTTTTTGATGTGCTCACTAATTGGTTCTGTTTCTGTTTTGGGAATAATCTCTTTTGTCCTTTCCTCTCCTTATTACTAGTTTTAAGTCTCTTAGATACTAAGGTTTAGACATCCTATCTGTTCAAACAACAGTTGGCACAAAAGGATTCCAAGATCTAAATGGCTAGAGAAATTGATTTCTTTTCTCAGTGGATGTGATGAGAGTGACTTTATGCTGTGTGTTAGTTATGTCTGTCATGTTAACATTTAGAAGTTGAAAAAACAATCAGAAATTGTTAGGTGCATAATGGCTGTATTGGTAGCAGACATTTGTACAATGCATTCTTGCTCTAGTGTGCTTTTCTTTTGTGTATGTGTAGGTGTAAGTGATTCCTTTTGTTTGTTTCAGTGGTGAAAACAGGATGAGAAATATTTTAAAGCTGGGTCCAATGTTCAGAGATTTGAGTGTGATGCACCCAACCACCTGTCCATT